TCCGAGCTGTTGGGGTCTGTGGCCTTCCGTCTGATATGTAGCCATTGGTTCACCGGAAGGGCTGCGTAAGCAATCAGCCACTGCAGACTTCTAATCTTGATTGGCCTAATTCATTTAAATTTATCCCAGTGGATTCGTGTGATTTTGTCTGCTTCCTGCCCAACGAGTTTCCGCCATCTGTTTTTGATAGTGGGGTCTGGATTTTTTGTTTTAGAGACAGTCTGTACCCCAGTTTAACTGTGTAGTCTTGAACTGGGATTTTGGTCTTTATGTTGCAGACCTTGCTTGGCGGCCATGCCCATTCGGCTGGATCGAACTCCAAGTTGCGGATTGTAGTATCAGGCCTGTATATTGATTTCGGCCATGCTCCTAAGACCCTTACTCTCCGAAGTAGGAAAAAATCTAAGACAGACGACTCAACTTCACAATTCGGGATATTCGGCGAACCCGTGTTGGAGGAGGAGATCGGGAAAGAGAGGAAGGTTGCCTTAGTGCGTGAGCCCTGCTGCCAATGAGAGAATTGATAGGCTCGCGGGGGTGTTGTTTCTTGAATCATTAGTCCCCACTCACCCGGTCTCCAGGGCTCGTTTTTTGCCAGAATATCCTTCCATTCCTGTGGGATGCAGCTGAGTAAGAATTGGAGATTAGTCCCTCATCTATGGCAGCCTTTCAGACGGGGTCTGATTTCTTGTTCTGTTACCCAACCCTTTCTATCTTCCACCCATAAGTGGTCGATTTTCCAGATACCGTTTTTGATCCAGGATAACCATCTCTGTTCTAGAAAGAGAGGGTTGTCCGCCTCACTTTTTATCCATTCATTCCCGAAGAGCGGGTGTCTTAGTACTTCATCCTTAGATTTAGGTCTGTTTGTCTTGTTGGGAAGTATTTTCCTTCAGGATCGGAGTAATGCCGGCCAGTAAGGTGTGGGCGGTCGAGGGTCATTGAGCCTATTATTCCTCGTTCGATTCCTGCGACCTGTGTTTATTACCCATTCTTTATTCATTACCCAAAACAGGCCTGTCATATCGTTGGAAGATGGAGTTGGGGCCACGGATCTTATACTGTCCAATGCCAGCTTATTCCATGCGTTGTCTGGATTCATCAGTAGTTTGATGATCCATTTGATTTGCAAGGCTTTCGTTTCTGTTCCGGGGTCGATAATTCCTAAGCCTCCATTACTTGTCCTTCCTGTAATGTAGTGCCAGGCGATCTTGGATATTCCTTTTTCCTTATTAGGATCTCCAGTCCATAGGTAGATCCTAGCTCTTCGGTTCAGTTCCTTTAGCGAATTGTCAGGGATTGTCCAAACGGACGCGATATACCACATCATTGAAAAGATGGATGTATTGAGGACTAGTGCTCCCTAACCTTTTTTTGGTCTGTAACAGCTGGAAATCGGGTCCAGCGTCCCTATACAGTGATGTGAGGATATGTAATTCTACCAAGACACGAAACCTT